GTACAGGAAGGTCTGGAAGGAGGAAGGGGAGCGTTATGTCCTGGGGAGCCAAAGCCTGGCTGAGCCCTTGGATGCAGACATCACCCAGGCCTTCCCTTCAGCCTCTGCACTGGGCTGCCTTCCAGTCTAGGCACATGCCATGACGGGGACCCACACGGTAGGGCTAGGAGGATGGCACACACAGGAGCCCTGTCAGGTGCTGGGCAGCAGAGGCCAAGGTTGGGTCTAACAGAGCACTTCAATGACCAAACAAGCTTCCCTCCACACCCAGGGGCTTGCTCCTGGCTCTGCAGACCTGATCTCAGGGCGACCTGGGAGCTGGCCTGAGGCCCGCTAGAGCAGGACATGCACGTTTTCAGGATTCAAATGCTGAGTGAGACACTTGAAGCCGTCTGCTTCACACACCAGTTGCAAAGCAGAACAGGCCAGAGCCAGCCAGCTCGGCTCAGCTCTTGGCAGCTTTCCCTGCTAAGCAGGGCAGCAGTCGCAGCTCCTCCATCCTGCCATCCGCTGCCTCACCCTGCCCTTCAGCATTTCTCACCGCCTGGCAGCCCTGTCACCTGGGCATCCCAAACCCTCGTGGTGCAATCACCAAACTCTTCATTCTTCCTCCACAGGAAGCCCCAGTTCTTCCCTGTTCACACCAGAGACCTTGTCTGGTCCAGACGGCTTCTCCTCATGAGCTCGTTTGAGAACAGGCCAATTCACAGCAGCCCAGAGTGCACAAAACCAGGCAGCTCCTTCAAGCTGCAGGACTGTGGCTGTCAGACAGCAGGGAGCCCTGCCATGCTTGGGCAGTAGCAAGAGGCTGCAGAGGCCCCAAGACTCCAGGTCTGAATCTGCCCAGCGGGAATCTGCCCAATGCTTTCCCATTGCCTGGAGGTGCCAAATTCGGTAGGCACCAGCTCAGCGGGCCGATCAGCCCCCAGGCCACATTAGAGAGATGCCCAGGTAGAGCAGATACTCTCGTGGCGGAGGACCTCATTCACTCCTGAGCTCGTTCGTTTGGCAGCTCCTTACAGACCTTCTCCAAGGGGAAGCCGTTCAGGAGGACCTCATTCACTCCTGAGCTCGTTCATTGCCTTCCCAGGGCAGATCCTTACAGACCTTCTCCAAGGGGAAGCCGTTGTAGCTGTTCAGCTGCTTGCACATCTCCGTGCTGAACTGGCAGATCCAAGACTTGTCCGAAATCACTGTCAGCGTCTCCTTGAGGAACTGCGGGGAGAAGAGGACCCGGTCAGGGGGTGCAGCTCAGAGGCAGGAGCAGTGACTTGGAGTCTCTCTTTAGGGAGCAGCACAGGCCAGGCACTTCCTCTAGCCGAGACATCCTTGCACATCCGCTTGGGTTGCTTGGTCAAGAAGGCGCATTGGGAGGGGAGGTTTTTACATGGCCCAGCGAGCAACCCAGCCTCCACTGAAGAGCCTGCAGCTCAAGTACTACCCTGCCACGGAGCTACACTTCCACTTGAGAGCTTTGGAGCCCAGCTTGGACCAGGGTAACCAGGAACCTGGCCCTCATGAGAGCAGGACAAGCTCTGCTTAAGTCCTTGATGTCCTGTTCGGTTCACTTAGTGCAGCAGGTACCAGTACCCTGTGCCAGAGGTCTGTCACTTTACTAGGGAACAGACAGCCCTGTTGAGAGGGCCCAGCCGCAGGACACCGGGATACTGAGGGAGTGTCTCACTGGAAGCTTAAAACCCAGGGGAGAGAGCAGAAGGACAAAAGGTGAGCTCGCTACCAAGGAGGGGCCAGGCTGCTGTGCTGGGGTCTGAGCCGAAGGGCTCCGTCCTAGCGCCCAGGGCAGGGCACAAGGTTTGGTTTTGATTTAGGCTTAATGACTTATCTGGAAGGACTGGTCGAGGAGCTCCTCGGGGAGCAATACCCACCTGCAGAAGCAGATGACCTGCTTACACCCTCGCTGCCCCTCGGGAACCTCGCAGCACCCCAGATTCAGCCTCACGTGTGCTCTCTGTGGGAGGTCCCTCTGGTATACTGGGGTCAAGCCAGGGCAGATCCAGAAGCCTGAACCCCTTTGTTCTGGGGTGAACGGGGACCCCAAAAGATACTGCTCTATGGATGCCCCATGGCAGCCCAGAAGCTGCCACTTCCTGGACCCGGAGATCATTTTAGGACTGGCCTTTACACTTCGCGGCATACCCACGCACTCTGCCCCTCACTATCCCACGTGCTCCCTCCCCAAGAAGCCACGGATGCGCTGCTGACAGTCCTGCATTATCCACACAGGCAAACAGACCCCGTGAGCAACTCACCAGAAGCAGCTTGTCTTCCCACTCCTTCTGGGACAGGGATTTCTCCGTGTGCTCTGGAACAAAGAGCGCTCCGTCAGGCGGCTCCGACCTGCACTGTGCACAGCAGACTCCCCCGGCTCAGTGCGGCACGACCCAGCCTGCTGCCTCGCAAGCAGCATGCTCTGGGAGGACGCTGGGGGGGCACGTCCAGCTGTGGTGCCTGACGGTACCTTTGCCTTAAGCAGCATTTAAGCACCAGACTCTGGGAGCCATAAGTGGAGCCTCACAAGCTGGCAGCACAGGGGCTGCTGATTTTAAGACCCCTGCTAACTACCTGCCTTAGCTGAGCATGTGAAAAAGGACGCTGTGCTTGGCTTTGGGGGTGGGGGAATTCCCCTGGCGAGCAGTCAGCACCAAATCCACACCCTGCAAGCTGCGGGCTTCCTGGCCTGTCCGGCGACTGGCCCCAGGTAGGAAGGCAGCACCCGACCGGCCCCAGCCGCTCAGTGCAGGGGGCACGGTCTGCGCAGGCTGCTCCCCAGGTGTAGCGTGCCGCTTGACTACAGTCTGCACCTTCAGCGAGGCAGGAGCTGCTCTCATGGGGCCTCTCTCAAGTCACCATGGCCCTGTGTGGACGGGGTGGCCACACACAGAACTTGCTGGCACATAGATTCACAGATGTTAGGGTCGGAAGGAACCTCAATAGATCATCGAGTCCGACCCCCTGCATAGGCAGGAAAGAGGGCGGGGGAGATGACCCCAGCTAGATACGCATCTAGCCTCCTCTTGAAGACCCCCAGGGTAGGGGAGAGCACCACCTCCCTTGGGAGCCCGTTCCAGACCCTGGCCACTCGAACTGTGAAGAAGTTCTTCCTAATGTCCAGTCGAAATCTGCTCTCTGCTAGCTTGTGGCCATCATTTCTTGTAACCTCCGGGGGCGCCTCGGTGAATAAAACCTCCCCAATTCCCTTCTGTGCCCCTGTGATGAACTTAATGTGCTAGCTCTTCCCTCGTTGCTCTGAGCAGGCTCAGCCATGCCCCAAATTCGTGCCGTACCTTCCAGGTGCTCCACTAAGGGGGGAATCGCGGCGTTCCACAGTGGGCCCAGCGTTGGATGGATGCTCGAGTGCAGCCCGTTAAGCAGGCGCAGAGCAGCAGCCCCCATCAGCAGGCGCAGAGCAGCAGCCCCCTGGCCATCCCCCAGGTAGGGCTGGGAGGACACCACCTGAGTGTCGGGCAGAAGAATCAGAGCAGATGAACTGCAAGCTCTGCAGAGGGTCTGGCTGTCAGTCCTGACATGGCACAACGCAGTGCCGGGCAGAGGTACCCGAGCTAGCCTGAGTGCTGGGAGCTGCAAGGCCCTGCTGGCATCGTACCCCACCCCACATCCCTACCGAGGCAAGGCCAGTTAACCCAGGCTCCACTTCCAATCCCCAGGTTGGCTCGGACATCTGGACCAGAGATACTCAGTGCCTGCATGTACTTTGGGCTCCCTCGCTCTGTGCAGCCAGAAGGGATATCTGACCAACACCTCAGTACTTCGGGGGAAGAGACCAGTTCCCAATATTCCCAGACTTTTGTTCTGGTTTTTGTTACCCAAGACCTCTACCAGAACGGCTCTCAGGAAGCTGGAGGTGAGAAGTGGGCGCTGTCTGGAACAGCGCCCAGGCCTGCTAGAAGCAGCAGTTTGATTCAAGAGCTTCCCCAGCCCGAGAGATCGGGAATTGCCAAAGACTCCCACAGAGAGAAAGAGGTTTCGACACTGGGCCAGAGCATGCTGCCTGGGGAGCAGGACCCCTCGTCCTGCCACCCTACCCCCCATTGGTCAGTGGGGTGCCCAAGACGGGCTATTTGGGCTTCAATGCTGCCCTGCGTCTGGGGCAGCCCGTGCCAGCTTGAAAAGCCAGTGCTTTCTGAAGGTCCCTCAAGCAGAGAATGGAAGAACAAGTCCCAACCCCACCAACTCACCAGCAGCCTTGTGGTCAGGGCAGACGGGGATGGCAGATTTGCTGCAAACGCAGGAAGAGAAAGAAGCATGAGACGCCTTCTCACCCCCCGGCCCGAGTCCCAGGTCATGCCCCAGCGGAGCGCCAGGGAGCCCCAGGCACTCACGGTTGGCGTCATAGTGGATGAGGACCGCTGCCTCCCCCTCCTCCTGCTTCTTCATCGCCAGGTGCATTAGGCTCTTGCAAAGGGGCGTCAAAGCACTGGTGAACTGTACCGGGGTGACGAACTCCAGCAGGTAGGGCCACAGCACCTGCAGAGGGGAGGGAGGCGCTCGCACTCAGCTGGCACCACGCGTGCTTAGGTGGAAAACATGCCATGATGTCGCATGTACCAGGCTCTCGGAGCCCTGGAAGGTACCTTGCTATTAAAGGCAGGCCCCCTTCTTCTGGAAGAGGGGACGGGGGCTTTTAGAAGTGGTCGTTGGGCAGCTCAGACCTGCTCAGAGCTCTGCGATGCTAATGTTATTTTGTGCCAAGTGTATCGTCCCTTTCCCACCTGTTAAGCTCCACAGGGTCTGGGCTAGGACGGGAGTCATGAGGAGGGAGCTTCACAGCACTTGTGTTTTGCTCATGTTTTGACTGGAGGCAGAAGCTGTACCAGGGCAGATCTCCCTGAACGAGATGGCACCAAGTTACTGCAGTCCAGCTTCCCCTTACCGTGGGATAAGAGAGACTGCAAGAAACCGCTGTGCTAATGCATAGGAGCATTCAGCAAGGCCCCCAGCACCGGGTTCACCACACCCCGCTACCCCTCAGGTCACAGCTGGACTCCTGTTCTTCAACAAGGGGCTTAGCTGAGCCTCTTCACCTCCACTTCCCTGTGCTCTAGGCAGCCGCTGCCGGACGCAGGGGTTGTGATGACTTGGCTTGCCTTCTAGCAGGCCAGCCAAGCTCACTGACAGGCAGCTTGTTCAGGAGCCTTCCTGCTCTCACAGGCCGCCCTGGACATGAGCACACTCAACGAGACAGACACCAGGCCCTGCCAAATGCCGGCTGGGCAGGGAGGGACTCACCTCGCTCATCCCGTCGACGGTCGTGCTGATGAGGAAGCGCGTGTTGATACTGATGCTCCGGACACTGTCACTGGTGAAGTCATCTCCTTCCGGCATCTGCTTCTTGGGACCCTGGGGGGGGGGAAAATCAGACAGCTCCCATCCCCGGTCCCGGCTGCAGGGTCAAGGCTGACAGCTGGCAACATCAGCCACTGGGGCTGCAGGACCGTCTCCCTTTCCCTCCCATCAGACCAGTAGCTTGGCACATGGCTCGTTGCCAGGAGCAGGCAGGGCCAACCCAGGCCAGCAACCCCACTCTTTGGTGCGAGAGGTCCCTGCCTTGCCCTGCACGCCCGTCACCTCTGCTGGGAAGGGAAAGGCCTGTTACTGCCCCAGCCCCCATCTCCAGGGGAGCAAACGGGAATGCTGAGCGCAATGAGCACCCGCGTCTCCTGGGTCCAGCCTGCTGCTGGGGCTGGGTTCTCAGGCAAGCCCCACCTGTGCTCCAGGAGAAGCCTCTGGGGGAGGCACTTGTGCAGCACCGCCAAAGGGGCCTGGCAAGGAGCCTGGGCCCAAGTAACCGAGCCCAGGCTCAGGCCTGCAAGGACTGAGCCTGGCCCAGCATTGGTCTCTAGCAGGAGACCAAGGCTTATGTCTGTGGCTGTGCCATGAAGCTGGAGGCTGGGGCAGCAGGGAGCAGCTGTCACAACTCCTACCTCTGCCCCCACCCGGCTGCCTCAGAGCCCGTGACAGGAGCAGCACTTGCTGAGCAAGACCTCAGTCTGCGTGTGAGGGACCGAAGCACAGCTAGGGTCCCGGTGCCGTCGCAGGCACAAGTTCCCCAGGCTTTTTGCAGCGCCAGAGCAGGCTGCAGCAGAGCCCAGCGGAGCCTGCAGCACTGGTCCAGGCGAGATGCCGTTTGCACCCAGAGGGGCAGCCAGTAGAGACTAGATCCCTGCATCCCTCTGGCCCAGGCCCCCACAAGCAGCTCTTGTCCCTAGAGCGCAGGTGCAGCTGCCACCTGCTTCCGCTCCTGGATGGTGCCTTTCTTCAGGCATTCACACCACAGCCAGGTGCACTTCCTAGTGCTGGGAATGAAAGTCTGCTGCTGAAGCTGGAGCCAGCTCCTCAGAACAAGGACCAGAGTAGACAAGGGGTGATGCCATCTCACGGGGCTGGCGCTGCCTGATCTAGAAGGACAAGAACCCCCATTACCAGCGCTCTGACGCAAGTCTTACTGTGTCCAGGGGCAGGGCACATTGGCGGAGGATGTACTCCATCATGGCTTCGCCGCCTGCCTGCTCCAGGTAGCCGTGGTGAGCCATCGCACTGATCACCTGCACCACAGCCCGCTTCACCTGCAGGGAGGCAAGAGTAGGGGGGGGAAGGGGAACACTCCCCAGCAACCCCCGAGAAGGGAGCGGAGCCAGGGGGCTGGCGTGGCACTTCCCGAGCTAATGGCACCCCTTGCCTTTCCTGCGGCACCAGCCAGGGTGCTGAAGTTGGGGGTTGCAGCACTCCGGATACAGGGGCTCCCCAGCACTTGCCTACATGCAGCCCTACGGCCAGCACTGTGCTGCAGAGCGGGCAACCAGCCCCTGCCAGGAGGGGAGGGACAGGGGACCAAGGTCACAAGAGGCTTTAGGGTACCCCTGATCCTCTAAGACTGAGGCAAGTCACTGGGGTGGAAACAGAGAGAGCTCAAAGGGATCCAAAGGAGAGTGAAGGTGCAGGGAGCGCGTCTCTGGCATGTGCCAAGGGGAAGGCAGCCCGAGAGCGCCGGGCATGTGCATGAGCGCAGGGCAAGAGGCAGATCAGTTCCCACCCCCGGGACCCCTGTTCTGGGGCCGGCAGGAGCCCCATTACCTTGTCACTGCTGTCCTGCAGAGGGAGCTTCATGGACGAGAGAATAAAGGGCTTTTTGATCTCCATCTGGGAGGCTGGAAGAGAGAGACAACAATGGTTCTAGCAGCTCCTCACGACCTTCCTGCCCTGCCACAGAGATGCTCAGAGCCCTGCGGGACCTTTGGAGGGCTCCAGCTATCCGCTGCCAGTACTGACCACCCGCACAGCCTGGGAGCTCGCCTCCCTGCCCCAGCAGCTGAAGGGAAGCTGGCTTCTTTTTTCCACCCCCCCCTCCAACAGCCACCAATGCCCAGTGGAACGAACGCTCCTCGATCCCGGTGCCTCCCCCCAGCAGAGAAGATACCGTGGGTGGGGGCAGCGGGACCAGCCGGTGCTCTCAGAGATGAGATCTAACCTCAGGCCCGAGTGCAGCCAGACATGTAGGGCACAGCCCCTGCTCTGCCATGAGCAGGCCAGGGAGCAGCAGTCTGTTCCTCAGAATGGCAACAGAAGCAACCACGCTGCAAGGAAGCTTTGAGCAAGCCCCGGGGGAAGTCTTTATCCTAGGACAGGCCTGCTCAGATGCGACTCATGGCTTCTCTGCGCTGTCAGAGAACCACCGATGCAGCAGGACGAGGCCGGTCCAGGGGAGCACATCGGGGCCTCTCTTGGATGTGTGCATGGCATGATGGCATAACAGACGAATGAACTAGCTCAGGGCTGGCGGCAGGACAGTGCTCTGCCCAGACTGACAGCTCTGGGAGCGCCAGGGTCTAAATCAGCCCAGCCAGAGCCCTGTGCTCCCCTGCTCCCAGTGCTACAGCCTGCAGTGCAGAGATGCCCTTGGGCCCAACAACCCTGAAGCCAAAACAGCCCGTGCTAACCATCAGCCAGGCCAGCAACCAAGCTTCAACATCAGCTCATTGGCTTGTCTTGCTCAGATGTGCCTACACGTGCAGACACCAGGAGCAACAGGTGTCTATATGCCAGGCAGGGGGGAAGGAGAAGGTGAAGAGTAAAGCTTCCTGGGGCCCTCGCCAGCAGGGAAGCCACTGTTTCCTCAGCACTGTCAGCCTACAGGTGGCCAGTAGCTTTGCTCCCTGGTTCCAGGCCAAGCCATCGGCTGCACGACAGCCCTAAGCTTCCCGTTTCATGTCCAAAAGACCTTGCCCACACACAGGACAGTCGCAGGACCAGCCCAAGGCATCACAGCAGTTGGCTCAGCCAGCATGAGGCCTCAGTCCTCTGATCAGACACACACGGCTTAGCGCATGGTACTCACCAGCACAGTTGATGATCTGCCGCATGATGAGAAGCGTCCCCACCCGGACTCTCTCGTTGCTGTTCTCCAGCTTGGGGAGCAGGAAGGCGAGGACGCGGTCGGGGAAGGAACAGGCTGCAGGAGACCGGACTGGCTGTTACGGACACTCCTGGCTCGTGGAGTGGGCTGCAGCCTAACAAGGCTGGCAGCTGCCCGATTCAGACAGCTGCAGCCGATGGGCTCAGAGCTGCAATGATGCAGCCTGCTACGGGCAAGAGCTCTGGGCAGCACAGAGCCCTGCCGGCCAGGACGTGTCTTGGGGCAGCTTTGCCCAAGTGAAACATGTGGTACATGTCCTAGGCCACATCAGATGCGTGCCCACTGCCTCCCATCCAGGGGCCAATAATGCGGAGGATGCTGCCAACAGGTGTGTGCAATGTCCTCTGCACAGACCAGTGCATGAACGGGGATGGGGAAAGGGGAGGCGTTGCACTTGGGGGCCTCGACTTGGTTATAACTTAATTTGGCCAGAGCTCTGTGCAAGCGTCTCCTTCTCTTTCCTCCTGGCAGTGGAGGGGGTCAGAAAGCCCAGTCTGGCACGTGCTGCCTTCTGCGGAGGATGTCAGAGTAACGTCCTACAGGGAAGGATCAGGCATGGCATCTCAGATCAGTGCTGCTACGGGCCTAAGACGTTGCTCGGAACATGCCGCAGCTCACGGCTTCCCTGGGCAAGAGCATCAGGAAGGAGGAGTCGCCCAGCAGTGACACGAGCCTCTCAGCTACTGCCGCTTCACTGGCGAAGCCACAGGCTTCCTCTAGAGGCAGAGTCATTAGCAAGAGGGGCTTTGCAGAGCCGGGAACGCGGGGCTCTGCTCTCCGAGGCCCCGTTCCTAGAGGAGGGCCACGCGAGCTGGAAAGCGCTGTCCAGGGCCTGGGCTACACTGCGGAGCTTGGCCAGCACAGCTTGCACTGCACACCCCTCCCCATACCCTGTGCAGCTCAGTCAGCAGCCTGCACTGGGGCACGTGCTGCAGCGGGCTCCTTGCCCGGGGCGAGTCAGGAGCTGCCGTGACTCAGCCAAATCACCCTGCAGAGCCTGAACGATTGCAGTGACATTTTTTGGGGGCGGGGGATGACAAATTCAGCAGCCCCAAGTGCTGGTTCAGCAAGCTCCAGGTTTCTCTACTGATTTACAGCAGTGCAGCACCAAGGGTCACCAGGCACCTGAGCTGAGTCAGGCATCCCAGAGAGCACATGATGCCTGCGTGCCCGCTTCCTACGCCATCCGGGAGCTGCGGGTTCCTAGCCAGGAAGGGAACGCAGCTACTTGGGGCAGCCCGGCAGCACAGCTGGACTCGCTCCGAATTCACACTGCATTTCTTAACCCCAAGGGCCCAGGAGCAGAGGGGAGTTTCACGGCCAGCCCCACCGTAAGCCAGCAGCCAGGACTGTACATTCACCACAGAGGCTCACACACCGAGTCCGCCACCGGACTGGCTGGGAACAGGTCAGGAGTTGTCTTTCAGGCAAGGAGACTCCAATGTGACCTGTGCTTCCAGGAGGAAGCCGAGTCTCCGAGTACCCAAGCCCCCCAGCCAGCACTAGAAGGCAGCAGGACAGACTGCAGAGACCCTGCCTTTGCCCTCAGCCCTTACCCAGAACGGTGAAGCAGCGCAGCACCTCGGTGTGATTCTTCACCATGAGCGGGACGGAGGGGTCTGCAGGGGCACAGATCTGTGTGGAGAAGCAAGCGGTGAGATGGGAAGGGACCAGCACTGGCTGTGATAAACCCTGTGAGCAGAACTCAGGCTTGGCGTTGGTGGGAAGGCTGGCGATCTGGACCCGTCCCCTTTCTGAGGCACATTAAGTGCAGCGTTCCCACAGTTAGGGCACATCTGATGGGCAAAGGGCAGCTGCCGAAGCACATGGGTCCAGGGGCTGGCGTGCATGTCCCTTTCAAGAGGCAGAATCGGAGCAGGAGTCGTCTCCACTACAGCCTGCTTTAATACTACATCTGCTATGTGTGTGGACCTGCACGCCCCCTCCACCCCAAGCGCTCTTCAGTCTGCAGTCTTATCTATACTCAGAATAGGAGTTGGACTCTTTGGGGGCCACAGCTCTGCTCTGCGTTTGGCTCTGGCTGATCACAGAATCCTAAAGCCGTGGGACGGGCAGGGAGCTGCAGGGGTCACGTCTAGTCCAAGCCCAGCCTGGAGCAGGATCCGCCCCGTTCCAAACCCATCCACACAAACCCCGCGTCCGACCTCAGAGCCACACAACACAGTCACCCCTGACCGTCCCAGGCACCACCCCTGCCCCTAGAAAAGCAGGGTGGGCCGCGGCCGCCAATATCCTTCTATAAAAGGTAGTAGATATATGCTGCAGAGACCACAGGCAGGGGCTATGCCCCCGCTGCAGAGGAAGGTAAACCCCCACAATCTGCACCAGTCTGAGCAGGGGGTAAAATCCCTTCCTGCCCCAGTGCAGCATCAGACTGAGCCTCAGCGCAGGGGCAAGACCCTCACAGTTTCATAGTTGGTCGGGTCGGAAGGGACCTGAGCAGATCATCACGTCCAACCCCCTGCCATGAGCAGGAAAGAGCACTGGGGTCAAACGATCCCAGCAAGGTGTTCGTCCAGCCTTCTCTTGAAGACCCCCAGGGTAGGAGCCAGCACCGCTTCTCTTGGAAGTTGGTTCCAGATCCTAGCCACCCTGATTGTGAAGTAGCATCTCCTGGTGTCTAGTCTGAATCTATCCTCTGCCAGCTTGTGACCGGTATTTCTAGTCACTCCTGGTAGTGCTCGGGGGAACAGGGACTCCCCCAATGCCTGCTGGTCCCCCCTGACTAGTTTGTAACAGGCCACTAGATCCCCCTCGGCTTTCTCTTGTGGAGGCTGAACAGGTCCAGGTCCCGTCGCCTCTCCTTGTAGGGCCTGCCTTGCTGCCCCCTGACCATGCGGGTGGCCTCCTCTGGACCCTCTCCATGCTGCCCACATCCCTCCTGACGTGCGGCGCCCAGTACTGGACGCAGTACTCCAGCTGCGGCCTGACCAGTGTCGCGTAGAGGGGGAGGATCACCTCCTTGGACCTGCTCGAGATGCATCCGTGGATGCACGACAAGGTGCAGTTGGCCTTCCTGACCACGTCCCCACACTGTCGGCCCATGTTCATTGTGGCATCAATAATGACTCCAAGATCCTTTTCTGCCTCTGCACTGACGAGAAGGGAGGTCCCCAGCCTGTAGGTGTGCTGCTGGCTCTTCCTCCCCAGGTGCAGCACCTTGCACTTGTCTGTGTTGAAACCCATCCTGTTCTCATCCGCCCACCCCTGTAACCTGTCCAGGTCCGATTGCAGCCTGTTCCTCCCTTCTAGCGTGCCCACATCTTAGTGTCGTCTGCGATTTGAACAAGGTGCTTTTCACCCCCTCATCCAAGTCGCTGATGAAGATGTTGAACAGTGCGGGCCCGAGGACCGAGCCCTGGGGGACCCCACTGCCCGCGTCCCTCCAGGTCAAAAATGACCCGTCCACCACCACTCTCTGGGTGCGGACCCTCAGCCAACTAGTGACCCACCTGACTGTGTAGGTGTCAACACCAGTCCCCTAGTTTTTTAATGAGAATGGGGTGAGAGACAGTGTCGAAGGCCTTCCTAAATCCAGAAAGACTATGTCCACTGCTACCCCTGCCTCTAAGGATTGTGTGACCTGGTCGTAGAAGGCACCAGGTCAGTCTGACAGGACCTGCCCCTAATGAACCCATGTTGGTTGCCCCTAAGCATGATCTCCCCTGCTGGCCCCTCGCAGATGTGCTCCTGCATAATCTTCTTGAAGAGCTTCCCCAGGACCGAGGTAAGACTAACAGGCCTATAATTTCCTGGGTCCTCCTTCCTCCCTTTTTGGAAAATGGGTTGGTCCCAGCAGGAGCACTGGCACAGCCCAGCCCCATCCCCAGTGCCTCTGGGGGAGGCTTACACGCCCCCGACACATAGAGCAAAAGAGGGAGGGGGGCGTAAGCCTCCACCACAGCCCAGAAGCCTGGGAAGTCTCCGCAACAGAGCGCAGGCATCGCTGCACCCAGATCATCCCTTCCCAGTGGCTTTCCAGCCTCTCCTTGACACCTCCCATGATGGAGGGTGCTGCACCACTGGACCGGTCAGAGCCCCACCAGCACACCCGTGCACTGCTCCGCACTGCCAAGTCAGGGCTCTGCTCTGCTCCCGATCCGGAGCTGTGCGAACTCTTCTCTTCCCTGATCTGAACTAGCAATGGTGACTGCAGGCTCTGGGGAAGGGACCATTCTCCAACTCCAGCAGGGACGAGCAGCATTGCCCACAAGCTCAGGGCCATAAGAAACAGCCTCTGGGCAGGACAAGCAGACTTGGCCAGAACGGCCTGCTTGCCAAGACCCACTTCCAGAAGTCTAGAGCAGGGAATCGGCAACCTCTTCTTGAGACAGGCTGCAATGATCCAGCTCTGGTCCAAGGCAGGTGGGACCTAGGGCCCGATCACTGCTGCCGCTTCTCCCCTCTGCCCAGATCCAGTGTTTCTGCAGGCTGGATCCAATCCTGATGTAGAGCCAGCAGGTGCATTGCTATGGCACTGGAAGGTTGTTCATTACCTCGTCGCCATCTGCCTCAAGAGGAAGCATTCCCTCTTCTTCTGCAGCAGATCTGGGGGATATCATTTCATTGACGTTCTAAGCCTCAGGTGCGGGTGTCTAGGACATTAAACATCTGCCTGTAGCTTGATGGGCCTCTCCTAACCAGAGCCACAGCAGCCAGCAGTGAGTGAGGAACGCAGGGTTTGCAACGCAGCTGGCACGAGGAAGAGGGAGCAAAGCAGCACCCTTCGGGTCCCCCACCCTGCAGACACTCCACACAGGATGGCCAGAGTCCCTGCTCCTCTCGGCCCCACCATGAACATCCTGCACTCTCCAAAGTCAAGGCCCCCAAGTCTGCCCAAAGTGCCAGGCTGTGCTCAAGTCCCTCCGTCACTGACACCAAACCGAAATGAAAGCACAAATCAGCACATCCCACGTAGCCAGAGGACTCCCAGGTTTGGCCTTGGAGAGGACACGCTGGCATCACCAGACTTGGGCTGACACTGGCATAAAGGGCTCTACCCCAGACAGGAAGAGGAACAAGTGGGAACGATGCTGCCCACGCAACTCACGCAGGATCCAGCACGTGGATTCAGCAGAGGAAGTGGCACACGTGTGAGTGAAGCTCAGTTAGTTCCTCTGCTTCCCACGGGGAAGGCCCGCCTGGGTAGTCCAGGCCTGGGAACAGAAGCACCTGGTCCTCAAACAGGAGCAGCCCAAGCACTTCCAGTAGGATTCACTGAGCGTGGGATGCCACCAATGCGATGGGAGAACCTGGATGCCTCAAGTGGCTGCTGGGATGCGAGTCTCTGCTCGTGACCCAGTAGCTGGGCTTGGCCCACGTGGCTGGATTCACACTCAGCGCTTCATGATCACGTCAGGCTTCCTCCACAAGCCGAGCACCGTGTGCTCTCACGGAGGAAACCCCACTGGAGACCGCAGCTAACCACATCAACCAGGCCAGAGCTGGCAGCACCAGGCTCCTTTGCTCCAACAGAAAAGCCACTCAAAACAGGCCTTTCTGCACCTTGCACTGTTATAACAGGCGGGCACGGCTCAGACCACAGAAGTGAAACTACTCGAGAGGCTCCTTGAACAGAGACCGCTGGCCCCCACCCCCTCACTCCGCTGTGGCCTCAGGCTGCCCGTGACCTGCCATCCCGTGTTTTAGAAGAGCAGTCCTGAACTCACCTAGCATAAATTTTTCCTCCTGTCCATGAATAAGAGCCTGGGGCCTGCAGGCTGAAGAGATGTCAGCCCCAACGCACCGACTTGCTTTGCAACAGCAGCGTCTGGAGGGAGCTGAGCAAAGCCCCAGATCCCACGTATGGTGCTGAGAAACCAGGACAGCCACTGCGCCGTTACCGGGCTGGCAGGTCGAGGGCTATCACCAGCCTCCGCTAGCTCAGCACAAGGAATCAAAAAGCCCCTTTTGAGGGCCGCCAGTCAAGTGGCATGTGCTGGTTTGGGGCCTGCACTAGACAATCTCTACCTGTAAAACCCTTCCAAGCCTAGCAGTCAGTGGGTCGCCATCACACATTTTGGTTCAAGGGGTACAGGAAGCAATTCTACCCCGCAGTCAGGCCGATACGGACCGTGGGGGGTTTGCCTTCCTCTGCTGCAGGAGGCACAGCCTTTTACTGGGTCTCTCGAGCATATTTAACAGCTTCTTGTCTTTGCAGCAGCAGACTAGGATGGTTTAGTCAGGGCTGGTCCTGCCTTAAGACATGATCTTGTGAGAGCCCGTCCAGTCCAACTGCTCCGAATCCAAGGACCTGCCCCCAGTCCCAGTGCAGAGCAGGGCTGAGACCCTCACGCAGCACGTCTGGGCCAGGAGCCAAGCCCAGAAGCTGCTTCTGCAGCGGGACGGCCTCCCCGACCCCTGCCAGCATGACAGGCAATAGGAAGACCTTCTGTTAACAGTGGCACTAAGCCCCCTTCGCCCTAGCAGACGAGCACATATCTCGTTCTCCTGAAGCTCTCTTGACTCTGCTGATGACTCTTGACTCATCCCCATAGCCTGCGGTGGCCAGTTCAAGCTCCCCCCAGCAAAACGGAGATGACCTCGTTTAAAGGAAGCTTCCTCCCCCCCGTTGCCCCTGTGCAGGCTGGAGCCTGGGAAGGTCATTCTGTGAGCTGGCAGGGGGTTATGGTGCTCTCTGACCTCAACCCCAGGATCATGAACACACTCCAGCCCCTTTCCAGAGGAGCCAGTCAACGCACGCTCTGTAGCTCTGCACCTCCTTCCAGCTCCCAGCACAGGGTTCACTGCCTTGCTTGCTCCCCACCTCAAGTCCTCACCTGGGGATGCAGCGCGCTCAGGAGTGCGTCCAGCTGCGTGTCCAGAGTACGGCTGCCAATGTTGACAGAAGCCTCCAGGATCTGGCACAAGCTCTGCTCAATGAGACATTACAAAAGGTGCTGTTAGCAGTGGGAAGAGGAACTACACCATGAGATGGGTAGTTAGTATGGGCTGGCCTGCGAACTGGTACATGCCAGCCTGGCGGGAGGGGCACAGGGTCTGCAGGTAAAAGCCAACCTGGTGCTGGGGGAAGAACAGAGCTGAGGCTCCCAGAGCACCCCCACCACCTCCTACAATGATCTTGGGGTAAGGATTTGCAGCAAAGGAGGCTCAGGTTAGATAGTAGGAAGAACTTTTTGACTAGGAGGATAGTAAAGCACAGGAACAGGCTACCCGGAGAACTGGTGGACTCTACATCCTTGGAGGTTTTGAAGATCTGGCTAGACAAAGCCCTGGTTGGGATGAAGTAGTTGGGGCTGGTCCTGCTTTAAGCAGGGGTTGGACTAGATGCGACTCCCTGAGGTCCTCACACCCTCATTCTCCGATTCTACGATCCAAGAGCAGCTCCTGTGCACACAAGCAGCTGCCACCACCGCATCAGCGTGTCAGTGGCCTGCAGAGTTCCCAGGCAAACCTCACTGCACATGCTGGACAGCAGGAGTCCTTACGGACCCCATCAGGGACCAGGCATGCGATGGGGCTCAGCAGTGGGAAGCTAAGCTAAGCTTTGGGACCGCTCCTCTGCTGCTAGAACCCGGCAGTCCAGCCCATGCTGGTCAGACTGGGAAGGCCCAGCAAGACAGGGCCAGGGAGTGGCAGGGCTGTCAGACCCTGGCAGCACAAGCCAGGTGACGCAGTGCCCTCTGAGGCCTCCCCCAGCACTCCAATGAGCACCAAGGAGCCAGTGGGCCCAAAGATGCCCCATGGGACTAGGGGAGCCGTGTGTGCAGCTGCTGACCTTGGACACGTAGAAGGTCTCCACGTGCTTCTTGTAGAGGGCGAGAATCCCTGGGATGAGTTTGGGGAGCTGCTCCTCCAGCTTATCGCCGGGCATCAGGTAACTCATGGGTCCGAGAGCCTCCACGACCGCCAGCCTCAGCTGCAGGAAAGCAAAGAGACCCTGCACCAGCCAGGCCTCACAGGGCACCCCCCACCCTAGTAAAGGACTCCTTAGCCAGGGGGTCTCCATGGCTTTGCTCCGAGGGCCTTACAAGCTCCCAGCCCTGTTCCATCTGGTCCTAGCGAGCGGGCCAGGCCTACAGCCACTGCCCCCATCCCCTCAGGAGAGCCGCAGCTTTCCTTCCCAAGCCATGGAGTGCAGTCCCCACAGTCAGTCTTTTCCTTTGTGCGCTGAAGACACGTGGTGCTAACAGGCGTCTAGAGCGAGTGGAAGTGGGGCCAGGACATCTCGCTGCAAACCCAGCTACCAGCTTGTGCAGTTTCTTACTCTGCAACAGGGGAGCTGCCTGCCTGCCTTCCTTACACACACGCACACACCCCCCTCCAATACCACGGGAACCTCCCTGAGCTCACAAGTGCTGTCCAGCAAGTTCCCTACTCAACTCCTCTAAGGAGAAGAGGCAACTGCTGTGCCCAGGGAGGACATCAGCCGTGCCGTCACAGCCGATGAGGAGCCATGCTCTTAAGGTGCGGATGTTGGAGAACACCCACAGGGAAGGGAGCCAGGCCAAGCCCTGCCACAAGCAGTGGGAGGCCCAGTCCTACGAGGATGCACAGATTCAAGGGCGTCTCCCTCCCCCGCCCCCACCGTGAGAACAAGTGGCCCAGCGGCACCTTGGCCTCCCGGCTCTGCAGCCAGCTGTTGAAGAGCACGTCATAGGCGCTGAAGATCTCATTGGAGAAGGTGTCCTTCCTCACGGTCGGGTCGGGGGCTTTGTCCAGGTTGGCCAGGTACTCCTGAATGCTCTCGCTGAAGTGCTGCAGGGCTGCAAGGCAGAGGCGCGTGCAGTCAGTTCCACATACACGGAGCGAGCGCTAGAAGCTCACAGGAGGCTTTCTGGGGAGTGAAAGGAACCACGCTACCGAGAAACACTGGAGTCTCCTGGTACGGAGGCTGCTCTCATCACGAGGCCTGTGGGTTTTCCCCTAGCCCCGACAGTCCCTGGGGGAGGTGGGCAGATGTCATGTTTCCAGGATACTTTTACTTGGTCCCTTCTACCCATGTTTAAGAGCAACCTTGCTGTCTTGGTGTTGGTAACTCCAGAGCCCGTGCTGGCTCAGAATTAGGGAGGTCTGTAAGTACGGTGTAGCTCCTGCCCTGGCAAGCTTGGCATCCCTCTCGGCCTCTAGCTGGGGAGTACAGCCAATCACCCAGGATGTTCCCCATATAACAAGGCCCAGGGAGACCCATGGGGTGGGCAGGACGGACTGCACAGGGAGGAGGGAGGAAGACGGGGGAGACTCGGAAACTAAGAGATGCTGCGGACTAGCTGGACAAGAGAAGGTCACCTCTATGCTCAGCTGACTGCGTATGTGGCTGCGACGGGTGCAGTCATGCGTTTTATTCCTTTAAGCTGCAGCATCCATGTCTGCACAGGCTTTGACCCTGGCTAGCTAGTTTTGTCCTTGGCTAGCAAGTGTTGCCATTTGAAGCCCCATCTTCCCATCTTTAAGGTGGGGAAAGCCTCAAGCAGGAATGACTTGTGAGCAGAGGTGCATCCAAGGCCCAGGGACGTCCCCAGCAGCGCGCTTCAGGACTTATCCCTTCCTTCTAAGTGTCCAAGACAAAGTCTGCTCCACAGCGGCATCTCCCCCAGGCACCAGGCTGTGGCTAGGACTTCCGTCACAGCCAGCTCGAGTCCGTTTCAGTCACCTAACGGATCAAGAGGAGATGGACGTCTCCGCTTCCTGAATTTGCTACGGAAACCAAGGACAACTTCAGTCCCAGCTCGGAGTACAGCACAGGGTCTTGGGGAATCACAGACAGTGAGGGTGTGAAGGGACCTCAGAAGGTCACATCTAGTCCAACCCCCTGCTCCAAGCAGGACCAGCCCCAACTGCATCATCCCAGCCAAGGATTTGTCTACCCGGGTCTTAAAACCCTGCAAGGACAGACTCCACCACCTCTCTGGGGAGCCTGTTCCAGTGTTTTACTGCCCTCCTAGTGAGAAAGTTTTTCCTAATATCTAACCTAAACTACGCTTGCTGCAACGTGAGACCTTTGCTCCTTGTTCTGTCGAGGCTCCCAGCTAGGGGCTTTATCCAAGACAAGTTTCAAAAGTCTGACAGACTGCTCAGCATGAGCCAGGCCACACTTGAAAAGGAGTTGAAGGTAAAATGGCTGCCTGCCTGGTGGGCAAAGACTCGGCACACACCGTACGGCAGCCCAGGCCAGGCTGGCACTGCCTCTGCTCTCAGCCCGGAGAGGAGAGCTCAGGGAAGCATCACCCCTTTCCTCCCATGCACTCATTTAACACCCCCAGCAGTGGTGGGAGATGAGCGAGCAGTGTCAAGCATGGTCAGTCGCAACTTAACCCCGCAGCCAGCCCGGGGCGGGGTCGAGAGCTGGATAAACCAGCCTCTTCAACAGGCACTCGTATAGGTAAAGGAACATCCAAGGGCCAGATGCCTCCTTACAGAAAACTTCTTCCAGCCACTTGAGCCTGTGCTGCCCGGCGCTGGACACTCAGCTGGCTCCTTACAGCGCAACCCAGCTAGAAACCTGCCTGCTTCCAGGTCTCGGCCTGCCCCGTAACCGGTCTCCTTCCAACCCTGTGAAGCTGGAAGCAATTTCTGAAGAGCTGCCAAGTGGGGATGACCGCTGGGCTGACTCGAGTGCAGCTGCAGCATTCGCTTCCCAAGGAAATGCAAATAAGTATTTTAAAGACTCAAATTTATGCTTGGGGGTGGGGAAGAAGCTACCTTGAATCCAGGTGTAGCACCTGGAATAAGGCCTGCTGAGCAGCTGTGGCCCTTGGGGCAGAATTCACCAGATTTGACAGGGCGGCATCCACATTTTTAAGCCAGAGCAATTTTTGGCAGAGACCGAAGCCTTCTCCCCACCTGAGCATCCAGGGGAGATGAAGGGCGTTAGACTGGATTAGCAGGCCTGCCTATAGGATCACAGAAAAGAAAATCCTTTCCAAGTCTAATGAGATCTATTCTACCCCCTGCTCAAGGCAGAATAATCCTCAACTAACCTCTCCGGCCAGTGTCTGTGTCTAGCCAACCTGCTCGTAGAAATCCCTGGGGATAGAGACGCCACTGCTCGTCCAGGCCAGTGCTTGGCCACCCTCAAAGTAAGAAAGCTCTTCATCCCCAGACTAAATGTCCCCTGCTGCAACCTAAACTGAATCCATTACTCCTAGTCCTGTCACAGAATCGCAGACAGCCGTGGGGCTGGCAGGGACCTCAGGAGGTCACATCTAGTCCACCCCCCTGCTCCAAGCAGGACCAGCCCCAACTACATCATCCCAGCCAGGGCTTTCTCTACCTGAGTCTTCAAAACCTCCAAGGACAGAGAGTCAACCACCTCTCTGGGTAACCTCTTCCAGTGCTTTACTATGCTCCTGGTGAGAAAGATTTCCTAATATCCAACCTCAACTTTCCTCACTGCAACTGGAGCCCATTGCTCCTTGTCCTGCCATCTGCCCCCACTGAGAACAGCCCAGCTCCATCCTCTTTGCAACCCCCCGGCAGGGAGTTGAAGGATGCTCTTCAATCCCCTCCGTCTTCTCTCGTGGCACCCCCAGGGCTCTGTTCTCAGACCTGTACTCTTTAATGTCTTCAGAAACAATCCGGACACTGGTGTCAACAGCGGACTGGCCAAGTTTGTTGATGACACCAAACTTTGGGGAAGAGTCTCCACACTTGAGGACAGGCTGGCGATCCAGGCTGACCTCGATAGGCTTGCAAGGTGGGTGGATGAAAACCTGGTGGCATTCAATACGGAGAAATGCAAGGTGCTTCATCTGGGGAAATAAAAACCCACATCACACTTATAGGCTCGGCAATGCTGCACTTGCTAGCACCACGACCGAAAGAGACTTGGGGGGTCATGACTGACCACAAGATGAACACGAGCCACCAATGCGATGTCACAGCTGGTAAAGCAAACCAAACTCTGGCTTACCTCTACCAATGCATCTCAAGCAAGACCCAGGATGTCATCCTCCCGCTGTACTCGGCCTTGGTGAGGCCACAGCTAGAGTACTGCATCCAATTCTGGGCTCCACGATTCAGGAAGGACGTGGAGAAGCTTGAGAGAGTGCATAGGAAAGCCACGCGAATGATCAGAGGGCAGGAGAAGAGAACTTATGAAGACAGGTTGAGGCCTTGTTCAGAGAGGCTGAGAGCCTTATGAAGAGAGGCTGAGAGCCATGGGACTCTTCAGCCTGGAAAAGCGCAGGCTCAGGGGGGACCGGGTGGCTGCTGATACGTACATCAGGGGCATGCATCAGGACCTGGAGGAATAGGAAAGCCACGCGAATGATCAGAGGGCAGGAGAAGAGAACTTATGAAGACAGGTTGAGGCCTTGTTCAGAGAGGCTGAGAGCCTTATGAAGAGAGGCTGAGAGCCATGGGACTCTTCAGCCTGGAAAAGCGCAGGCTCAGGGGGGACCGGGTGGCTGCTGATACGTACATCAGGGGCATGCATCAGGACCTGGAGGAATGACTGTTCACCAGAGCGCCCCAAGCGATGACAAGGTCCAACGGTCACAAACTCCTCCAAGACCGTTTCAGGCTGGACATAAGGAAGAACTTCTTTACTGACCAAGGCCCCAAGGCCTGGAACAGACTGCCCCCGAGGCGGTGCAAGCACCTACTCTGGACACTTTCCAGAAATGTTCGGACACTTATCTTGCTGGGATCGTTTGACCCCTGCTGACTTCCTGCCCCTGGGGCAGGGGCCTGGACCCGATGATCTTACAAGGTCCCTCTGAGCCCTAATGTCTATGAAATCTGTGACATCTTCTGCAGACTAAATCAGCCCAGTTCCCTCGGCCTCTCCTCACCAGTCCTGCCCCGCAGCCCCAAACCATTTTCACTGCCCTCCCCTGGACTCTCTCTAATATGTGTCCACATCCTTTCTGTAGTGGGAGGGGGGCCCACAGCTGGACACAAGACTCCAGATGTGGCCTCCCCAGTGCCGAATAGAGAGGAAGAATCACCGCCCTGCCCCTACAGCCACAGAGGAAAGCCCCTCTCCATCCTCTATAAGCACCATTCAGGTATGTAAAGACTTACCCCCTTCCTCAATCTTCTATTCTCCAAACTAAGTAACCCTTGCTTTTCCAGCCTGCCTTCCCAGGCCTCTAAGCATTCCTGTCACTTCCCAATCCATCCACATCCTTCTTGACCTGTTGGGCTCAGGACTCCAAGGGAGGCCTCACCACAAGTGCCACAGAGCAGAAGCAGCACTGCCCTCAATTTGCAGGCGACACATCTGTTAACACAAGCCAGGATGCGACTGGCCTTTATTTTTCTCCTTGAGCCAAAAGAGCAGACTCTTCAGTCATTCAGCTTATGAGCCAGTGACCCTCCAAGGACTGCAACTCTGGTGGATGGTGGAGAGGCTCATGGGCTCGCAGGTACCCTCAAGAGCAATGTCGCCTAGAGTTTGGTACTCCTGGTAAGGTCCCGCATGGCTGCAAGGTTGAGAGGGGTTTCCAGTCTAACAGCAATCCAAAAATAAAGTCCTCGATGGCAAAGCAGATGGACGAAGAAAGGATACTTTACAATGGCTGCAAAGGCAGATGAAAGCTGCAGCAGAATGAAAACATCGGGTCATCTCAGCTTTCCTCGTCAGATTAAGGCTCCTTTCCCGCAAAGTTGTGTGTGGTTGCAGATGTACAGCAGCATCCCTGCACCACAGCGACATGTGCAGGCGTCTTCCTTCAATAGCAAGTCCTACAGCCACGGGCGAGTGGCGTCGGGGCCAAGTGCTAGCGAGCACTGGAAGCCCCTAGTCACAGACCTACACAGA